ATCATTTTTAATTTTTTTGATTGGTTTCAAAGAAGTATGTTTCCAACGTGTTTTTATACTATTTTTATTGAGAAAATTATTTCATAAATTAATTACCCTTTGTTCAACATCTTAGCGTTGTCGTATGGATTGAACCCCAAATTTTCATAATAGTTGTTTTAACAAAATTTATGATATCCAAGTTAATGTAATTTTAAATGCTTTCATAACATACACTTTCTCTTTGAAGGTATTTATTAAAAAATGAATTTGCAAAAAAAGCAAATTAACTAAAAATTAACTTCAAATCACCTTTAAAAACACCCTTTAGTGAGCCTCCTCTTGTAAAAAATTTTTTACACAACTCGGAAAACATTTTGATACTCATCGGCAAAACTTTTCTCTTCATGGTTAGGTGCTATCAGGCGATTATTCCATGGAGAAATGGATTAAAACTTGAGAGAAACAATCTCAATCGAATCCAGCTCGTAAACCATCTCCACTATTTAACATATTGGTTTTATTACACTGCGAGCTAAACCAGCAAAGCATATAGAAGATTCTTCTACAAGATCCTACAATTCTAGAAGAATCTTATATATGCATGTCTATTTTACAATCTTCTACAAGAAAAAGATGAAAAGTTGCATTTTGTTTGAATAAACTCCATTAGACTGCCCATTAATTAAAACATCAGTTCTGCTGATATTCATTGAGTTAAACTTTTCTGGTTGTCTTGCAAAAGAAGTAGGTTGGGAAGAATAAATTAAAACGTATTTTAACAAGTTGCAAGCAATATTCGTTGCACACGAAATTCGCTACATGCCTTGCTGTGAGGTCTGTATCTCTAATGAGAACAGCATCGTAACGCCATCTTATTACACTACTTGGAACAATAATCATGCTTGGACTTAAATTAGATAACCTTATAAGAATTGTTTGACTTTATGGATTTGCTAGTGTTGCTGAATTTAAACTTACGACAATGATTTGTCTTTCAACCCGGACATCATATACTGTAGTATGGTTGCGCCAAGGGTCTAACAAAGTACCATAGCTTAATTGAAGAATTAATGCCATTTGATTGTATTGTAAAGATAAAACCACTATCTGATATATTACTATTTACAAGAAAGCAGAAGCCATTAAAAAGTATGAATCATGTTTGATGAAACCGTTAAAATATTATTTACTGATATTGATTCAAGCGAATCTTTTCCAGATGTTGAAATTAAACTCCCTAAACCTCCTACAACTGATCCAGGAAAAAATCTTTTATCTCAGGACAATAAAATTAACTTTCTTAGAAAGTAACTACATGATTTATCTACAAAAAATAACTTTTGAAACAGGTAATATTATTGAACTTAACGATAAATCTAAAATTTATAAGGTGTGGTTAATGTGGCAACAACAGTAAAAAATTTATTTAAGAGAATTCTTGCTTTTTGCTACAGAAAAACTTTGTATTTAATAGGTCTAAGATTAACGGACGTTTTGGCTACCAGTCTGAGGTATTTGGTGATACATCAAGAAAAGAAGTATACTTTTTTGGAAATGGTTTCACTCTTTAAACGGTGTTTGCTAGTTTTTAACTACGCGCTATAGTCCGCTGAATTAACTAAAAAATCATCCCAACCTAGAAGTGAACGTAAACATAAGATACTTCACCAAATTAAAAGCGCCATCATTTGGAGCATCGGAAAGTGTATTTTTAGGCCTTTTTTTTAATTAAGAAGAGGTAATAATTTTTATGGTCAAAATTTTTTTTCAAAAGTTACTTTCCATATATCGTTAGAAAGATAATTTAATGCTGATTTATATTTGTATAAGAACCGAAGGTTGAAAATAAAAATAAATAAAGAATGCTATTACTTTAACGCAATGTTATAAAGATTCAATGATTTTTACAGTACCCATGGGTTTTAAAACATTTGATATTACATGCTAAGTTAATTAAGCATGTTGTAAAGGTTAATATTTTTATTCAACGAGTTAGTAAGTAATAGTTAAAAGTTATATTTAATTTTTATTTAGTATTTTATGTTTATTTAAAGTATAACGCCTAATTTTTCAAATAAACGGAAAAAAACATTGTAAACGTTTAAAAAAAATAAAGAAAACACACGGATTGTGGTGTTAAGATATTACCTTAGTTAGAATCTAGTAACATTAGTTTTCAGATGATTAAATTCAAACCTTACAGAGAAATACCGTTTCCGATTACACTTCCCAGAGAAGTAAATTTTGACTTGTTAAGGCAAGGTAGCTGGATGTTCAGTTCCACTGAATAATCGCGGCCAAACTGGTCAGATTTTATGCAACTAGAAACTGATACAGGATTTTTCCGCAAAAATCGTTAGTTTCATTCCTCCTTAGTTTCAATTGATCTCAATCTTTCTGATGAAACAAAAATTTACTCCACTCTTCGTATTATTATAAACCAGACTAAAAAATTGAACATACCATTAAATTGCGTAACTTTTGACCAACCGTTATGGATAAAAGCGACAGCAATCATTAAAGAAGAATATCACAATATAGTATGTAGATTGCGTGGATTTCATACCATAATGAGTTATATTGAAAGCATTTGTAAACATATATGAGGATCTGGTTTGGAGTAATTTTTTAACGAGATTTGCGCATTAAGTATTATAAACAAGGTTGCTTCGAGCGCATATTCTAGCAGAAAGTGCCCTTAAAATTATACTGCTGAATATTTATGTTATTGTCGAAAAGATTATTCTTTCCTCGTTTAAACCTAATTTGAAAAGTGCTTTTAGAGAATTTAATATATGGAAATTATTACAATCGCAAAAAACTTCACTACTGCAGAGAGAACATCAAATTGATCTCTTCACCGACATAAAACAAAGTTTAGGCTAAATTTATTTACTACAACTGGGCACATAAATTACGAGAATCGGAACATTTCTTGAAAATAAATTCTCCTGTTTTAAAAGTTCTTGGTTTAGTGACTTTTTTAATGGATCACATACTGTAAGAAAAATCAGTCGTTATTAATGCGTTCTGTAAATAAGAGATATGGCTTAAGTCGAGGACGCGGACTAACAGAAAGTGTCTTTAGGCACTTAGTTTAAACTCCGGTGCGGCTATACACAAAGCCATGATAACTTTGAAAGGATGTCAAATAGAAACAAGCAAACAACACAAATAAATAGGGTTAGCAAGACGTGCAAGGGAAATTTTAGACTGTGAAAAACTTATAAAGTGGTTAGGATCACAACCCTAATAGAACACAACTCGGAATTAAACTCAAAAAAGTGTGTAAAACTCCATTTTAAGTCGAATTAAAGCGTTTTTTTGACGATTTTTGGACATTTTTGGCTGATAAGTGGGACTTAGAAAGTGTTTTACACTAATTTTGAGTTAATTGGATTGATTCAAATCCAGTAAGAATTATGTTGCCTTAATTTCAATACATAAATGTTTTTATCTTATAATTTTTTTTATTACGAGAAATATATGCGAGTGTCAGTTATTTTATTTAAAATAAATACTGAACAATTTTTGATATCAAAAATATATATTTTACACCAGAAATGAGCACATACATACATGGAAAAATAGATTTAGTGACTAGTCATAGCATGGAACCAGGGTGAGCACTGTGCAGTTATTTTGTTAAATCGACCTTTTTCTTTTGCATCAGTATCAATGTCAGCAACTTCCTTCTCATTTAAGAGGCAGGCGAACTGATTTTCCATGCAGTCTGCATCAACTTTGCGTTTTTTGTCATGATTTATATCTCCAGAAACTAGAAAAATATTGAAACCTTATGAACTGCACGGACATTCTTTAAAGAAATCTTCTTGTTTTTCGAAAGAAGCAATTGTCACTTCGAATTTGTCTTCTATACCATCATATTGCATGTCGAAAACAACGCAGACTTTTGGCTTGCCAATTAAACTGTTGACAAGTACAACCTTGTTTGGGTATTTTTGAAGATGGTTAGGTCCCAAAAATCAACCGTTTTATATGGCGCGTTACTTGGCATTCGGTTTGTTTCTCTCCTCTCCCATTTGATAAAATTTATTGGATGGACAGAAGTAATTTGGTTAATGACCCTAAAATCATTTTCATTGAAGTTCGAAAAGTGTACAATGTTTGTTTCTGCTCCATTTTTTATCCACCATTGAGTAGAGCACGTCTTCTTTGACAACCACTTAGAAAAAGTCAGAATTAAAATAAGTAAGTAGGAATTACACTTTTCAAAACTAAGTCAGAATTAGAAAAGTCTTAGTTAAGTTGGTATCATAACATAAGCGGTAGAACAATTTTTGAAATCTCTTCCCGCATCAAAATGTTGCGCATTTGTGCGTGGACACAATGTCCGTCTTTTCCTCTAAATTGGAAATTAAAACGCATATGCAAGAACTTTTGAAAAAACATTCAGGAAATCTAGTTACCAATTCATTAAGATAAAAGTGAATATCTTTGCAAATTTGTCCTATCGAAAATTGCAGTGACCCATCAAGCAATCCGTAATGTGCATATTTGCCGAATTCACCACACGGTATTGGCCTGTATAAATATGCAACATAAATATAAGTGTATATCATAAATACATAGTTCTTATTTAAACTTACATGTACTCCAATCTGGCAGTTTTTATTTGAGGACGCAATGACTCCATCAATACTTTTCCAGATCTTGGCAATTCTGTCAGTTTAAGATCAAGCTTCGAACTTGACAATATTTGAAGTACAACTGTTGTTTTCGTTTGTGTCAAGATGTGACCCAACATGTTTCAGAAAATTTTCCCATGTTGTTTCTTTCTTTGGATGTTTAGCAGCAATATTTTTCATTCTTTCTTCGATTTCTAGATCCATAACTGATTTCAAATTATGCAGATCATCTGCATAATTTGAAATCATAACGGATTTCAAATTATGCAGATCAATAACTTCTTATTTCGCGTCAACAGCAGTATCATTATAAGCGATTTCGTTTTCCACATATTCGCTGAAAAAGTTGTTGATAAATGTAGCATGCGCTTAAATAACAGCAGCTTCTTTTGCAGGTAATCCATCTTCAATAAAAGACTCATCATCTTCATCACTACTAGTGCTACTACTGCTAGTTTCAGATTTCGACTCACTTTCTTCATGCTTATTGGAAGCAGCGCGTTCAACAACTAAAGATAAAAATAGCAAATAATTACGAATATGATTTGAATTATGGCCATGTTTGATGAATAAAGACAGCTTCTACTTATTTTGTCTGCTTTTTGCAGCAGATGGATCATTATCAAGTGAGCAGTCACTACTTGACGTGTTATAGCCTAATTCTTTTTGTGTTATTATGGCCAAATGCTGGATAATTGTTTCTTTAACGCAATCAGGACTGGCTGCTAAATTATTATTTGACCCTAAGTTCATGTATTTATTATCTAATGAGTGGGTAGAATAATTATCATTTGCTTCTCCAACCCCATCTGCTGCTTCTTCAATCCCATCTGCTTCTCCAATCCTTTCTGCTACATGGAATCGTTAGACTTTTTAAACGATTTTCCTCCTGCTCAGAAACCACCAACTTACGCTTTGTAGCTGCTACTGGTAAAGCATGCTTATCAGAAACCGAAACATAAGTTGATAATGAAGCAAATCCAGAAGATGAAGATTTTGTATCTTTGTCACTTGATGATAAAGCAGACAATGATGATGATGTAGTAGTGCCCAATGCAACAGGGCCGTCAATAAGTTCAAATAATCTTTTTTTCTAAATTTGATCAACAGCACGACGTTTCAATTTATTTTGATTCAAATTGGTAATGTGTAGCTTTTCTGACGCAGGTACCTGCATCTGAAAAGCTACAAATTAGAAAAGCTACAAATTAGAGAAGCTACAAATTATAAACCTAGGTTTCTTTGCCTAATATGAGCAGGTTTTTTGTGACCACCCATTATATATTTATCAGCGTTACTTTTTCAAGAACACCCGTTCTTGTGGAAACATTCTTACATATCTTTTCACTATTAATATATTTTACTAACATGGCATAGTAAATTGACTTTAAAGAAGATTAAATAATAATAATAACAATAATATTAGGAATTTCTCAACTTTAAAGAAACAATTTAACGTAACTTTCATATCTTTCTTGATATTATTTATTACTCTTGATACTTGCTATATTAGTTTAAAAAATTATGTTTATTATTCTAGAGTAGGGTGACACAAAGTAGGATCGAAAAATGAAATTTTTCAAAAATCAATAACCACAGTTGTTTATCCTGTTCTACAACATTCAGTTAGTCTAAATACAAAACATCACTTATTTTTATTCGTTGGAAGTGTTACATGTAGTTTTTCAAATATTGAGGATTGGCTGAACTTTATGTCACTTTTTATGGGTTAAATTATGTTTATAACTAAACTTTTGTTTGATCTTACAAGAAAAAAAAACATTTTTTTGTAGTTTCATACAGTTAGCTATCATTTTACAAAAATTTTTCAACTCTAGGTTTAGCTCTACCAGTTCCTTAAGCGACATATCTTTTGTTATAAGCTTTCTGTGCTCCCTGACTACCAAAAGAATGTTCTGTCTCTGATCAGTATGCCACTCTCAAGCAGATTCGGTGTGACCTGTAAGTATAAAAAAAAGCCAACTCTCCTTCGTAATTAAATCCTCTAATCGACTATCACTAATAACAATAACAGCAGAAGAAGCTGTAACAGGAATCTCTAATAACCCAGGAATTTGAAATTTTAAAAGTTTCTCAATGATTAAAAGCTTAGTTCCTGCTTTCATATGAGGATCACCTAACGATAGTACGACAACTTTAGGAGGCATATACCATGTGTGGTTACTCATGCTTTTTTGAAGTGAGTTTTCAACTTCATAATCCCATTCTGTTTTAATTGTTTCAGCAATTTTGAATGCATTAAAATCATTTGGAACAGCATGCTCTGCTTTGCCTGATGTAAGAAAGACAGGTTCATAATAAATAGCAACAATAAATGCTACGCTTGAGACCATATGCTTCTTTTCAGGAGTCAGATATTCAATGACTGTGGATGTCATATCGAGCATTAGAAAGTATATTGCATAGGCCATAAACCTTGCATTGTGACAAGCGCCAGGCTGATAGATGTGAAAATTATTTAATTTCTCAGATTTAAAACTCATGTCATACGTCAAATATTCAACAAGATGCCTGTAATCATTGCTAAAATATTCCTAATTTTATTTATATGGTGTCTACACAATAACCAAAGATATGGTTTACAAAAATTTTGCCATAATAGTAATTGTACCAGATTTCCATCCAGTGTTACTTACTGTGGTGTCAGAACAGAAACTTTCAATATAGTCAAAATTTTCTAGGAGATTCATATACTTATAGCCATATCTAATACTTAAAGCCATATCGATTCCTTTACCACTCTCAGTTGGCACAAAACCAAGTAAAAAATCATCTTTGGTTTTAAACTCTAAGCTAGTAACAGATACTGATAGTCTATCTACAGTAGTTGCCTGTCTAGTGTCTTTCTCAATATGCTTAAAAATTTTACCATCAAAATGTAAAAGTAATATCTTGTTAGCTATTAAATCAATATATTCATTACGTATCTTCATTACCTTCTTCCTCTTCTAAAAATCTGTAACGTTGCCTTCTGAGAGATTCTCTGTCTACTAATGCATACTTTTTGACCTTGCTTCGTGAAAGTTAACATTTTTATCTGGGACAAAAACTTCCGACTCAGCAATTACACTTCCAGCATCTAAATTAATAGCTCAGTTATACATTTACTTTAAAAAATTACTAATTATACCTAAAATGTCCGTGAGTTATTAGAAAAAATTGTTTATATTCTCTTATTTTATTTAATCATAAGTTGAGACAAATATTTTTATGTGTTAAACAAATTATACTTTAATATTACCTAATTCACGGTCGTTTACAAGCGTTAAGTTTAGGCGCGCATGTGCCAAAAGATAGAAATTTCAGAGTTTTTTAGAAATTTCAGAGTTTTTTAAATGGTTGCGGTTCTTAGCTACATAATCTTTTTTATATAGCAACTGTTATTTTTAGTTTATTTTTTTAAAAATTAATGTCGCAACCATATTACTAATCTAAATCAATAAATAAATGTCTTTTTTATATTAGTAAATAAATAAATACGCTAACCAATTCTTTTTTAAAGTTTTAATTTGTATTTTGGCTAAAACTTTTATTTGTAACATTGAGTGGTTTGTTTATTTTTTTTAAATAAATTTTGAGAATTTCTAACTGTACAAATTAAAAAAAATTTTCTTTATTGTTATTATTACTTTCTTTATACTTTGACCTTCTTTTGGTCGTTGCTTAAATTTAGTTTTTTTGTAAAAATGTATTTTAACTCGTTTAGCTTGTTAAAAGCTTAGTTTTTTCTTGAATTTTGTTCTGGTGCATTTTTATCAATTATGTTATAAAATTGGGGATATAAAAATGTAATAAAATTAAAACAAATATATATATATATATATATATATATATATATATATATATATATATATATATATATATATATATATATATATATATATATATATATATATATATATATATATATATATATATATATATATATATATATGGTTTTTTTACATATACTAAATCTAAATTACATCTATTTTTTATATGTACTATTTTTGGAAGACTATATATCTGTCATCATATTAGTTGTTCCAATATTTCAACTCTATAATATTTGAAATATTGGAACAACTATTATGACGACAATTATTGTCTACTACTTCAAGTAAGTAAAAAATATTTAAATATGGTTCAGTTTACTAATTTAGATACCAAGTTGCATTAGTAGCTGGTAATGTACAGTTAGACAATGCTTATTGATATTTATTAGTATAATATTTGATTTTATATATTGATAAAGTGGGGGTTAATTTAATAGCTGACTTTGTTAATTTAATTAAGCTGACATTTTTTTTCCTAGATGATTTTATAAAACACTTCAAGAAAACAATTCGATCATTAAAAACACAGTATCATGTTCCTACTTGACAGAAACTGAAACCACAATTTACATATTTTTAAAGTTTAAAAACTTTAAGATTTAAAAACTATGGTTGTATAAAGTAGGTAAACTCTATGTATAATTGATATATGTTAATAATCTACAGATTGATTATGTTGATGAATTTCAGAAATTCGATTGATAATTAAATCAAAAGTTCAATCAGTATGATACAACTTTTTAAATTATGTAATACTGAGAGATAAATGAAATTTATCGATGATATTGTTGTTGTTGTTAAAAGTATAATTAATAGATTTTATATAAACTTATTTCCCTCCCATGGGATACAAAGCTCCACAATCTAGCAATCCTGGCCTTTGAGTCAATGTACAGATTCAAACATGTTTATTTTAAATTTAGAGATTTTATTAGTGTATATTATAATACATTAAAATTATACTATCAAATATTTTTAGCTCTTTAATTAAACTATTAATGTTATACAGATGATGAGTTTAACTTTTGTGCATCTTTTTTCCTGTCTTAAAACCTGTCTTAAACACAGAAAAATGTTGAATTAACAAAAACTTTTGATCTTGTTTGTTTTTAATGTTTTAAAATAAAACCTGGAGAATTGATTTTTGTAGTTATAAGGCTGTTCAAGTAATGTGACACTTTTTTTGATATCTCCCTCCCCAAAACGGTTTTGTGATATTATTTTAACCCCCTCCTTCACCCCAGCCTCCTATTTCTTGTGACGCGACATTTGTAAACAAAATATATCTGAGTTTTTGCTAAAAGTTTACTAATTAATAAGGAATTAAATTGAATTAAAATTCAATATCAATTTTTATCACAACACAAAAAATAACTATTTCTATAGCCCTAGACGTATACATTATGAAGGCCTTAACAATGCGTACGTCAAGGGCGGATACAAAGGATTAAGAAATTAAACTTTTAAAGTACCTAAAGAAACATTGGATATCATAAAATTAACGTGCAATAGGAAACGGGGGTGCGAAACCAGTGGTTTTGCTGCGTATGTATATTATGGGCACCCATAAGAAGAAGTTGTATTAATGGCGGATTTAGTATAGTAAGTGCCTTGGAGAACGAGTAAGAAATGTATAATCCTATACCTCCCTAAAATTACCTACGTTTTTAACCTACCAACCCACCATTTTATAATATTTTTTTTAATTTAGTGTCTCTAAACTTTTATAATTGACCTACTGCGCCCCCCCCCCCATCTTATATTTTTTCATTTGCAGACCCCTCTTCCTCTCCGAGCGTTTGTATTTTATGTAGGGGTTGTCCATTAAATACGTCAACAAAATAGGGGGTGGGGGGGGGGTCTGAACTTTTTTGACAATTGTTGACAAAACAGGGGGGGGGGGGTTGAGGTCAATAAAAGTAAATGTCAACAATTTTTTTTTTTTTGAGTTTCATTGCTTGAATAACAGAAAATTAGGCTGATTTTGTAATTAGCTTCCTTGTATAGGAAGGAAGGGGGTAATCAAAAATTAACGTAATTTTATAGGGGGGTCTCTTGAAATTTGACAAATTGTTGACAAGGGGGAGGGGGAGAAGTTAAAATTAAAAAAAAAATTGATGACGTAATTAATGGACAGCCCCTTAACTACCTTTAAAGAGCTATGAAACAAAAAAATTAAAATGTTCAAAATAACAAAGTTTTCAATTAAATAAGATTTTAAAGTTCTTTCCTCAGGGTTTTTAATAACTGGTGTAAGATTTACAACCCTAAAATAAATCCCAGCTATGTTTTTTTTTAAGGATGCATTGAGTCAAAGGCATTTATAAGTTATTTTGCGTGTTTTTTTTAATGGATTCACTGAGCGAAAAGAAAAATATCCGTTGATTCGGGTGACTTTTTTAAATGAATGAATGAAGAAACAAATGAATGAATGAAGAAACAAATGAATGAATGACAATGTGAAACTTTGATATGCATATGTTTGGTGTGCATCTTAAGAACATGTATGTTTAGAACACGAACAAATATTTTTAAGTAATTTTTTATTTTTAAGTTGATTTATGATTAGTTAAAATGTTGTATAACGTTTATTTAAATTTTTTTAGAGCTAACAAGTAAGATGGTTTTTACTAATGTTATCTTTTTTAAATACAATTTATTTCTTTTATGATAAGAGTTTTTGTTAAAAGACTTAAATAATTTGAATTTATGTAATTTATTAATTTTATTTTTCAGTTCTACTATTACCATTTTTTTTTTTTCAGTTAGTTTACTGTTAAATATGATTGCAATTTCGTAAATTTCATTACTTAAAGCATACTTTAACAATCATTAGATAACAAATCAATTCAGCACATCATGGTAGTAATTCAGCACAGGTAACAATTATGGCAACAATTCAGCACATTAAGGTAGTAACAATTTTATTTACTGGTAACACAACAGCAGGTTTATTATATATATATATATATATATATATATATATATATATATATATATATATATATATATATATATATATATATATATAT